AGGGGTCCCAAATGCCGACTTTTCAGTTGCCAGCTGAGCAGTTAACCCCTGCACCACCAGGGCTCCTTCGACCTATCAAAGTGCTCGGTAAATGTGAGGTCCTGCAGCTGCCATCTTTGTCATAACCCTGGTGGCAGTTAGGCTCACTTTCTGATCATTGGCATGAGGTTAGTATGAGAAGACACATGCACGTCCATGTCCAACATACACAATATCCCCAAACCCAAGAAATGAAGCTTTCTGGAATGTGTTTCCAATTGAACAAGGACAGAAAGTAGACTCTATCCCTGTGGCCAGCGTTGATCTATTAATGGTGCTGTCTTGTATTGGAAGAAATTCCGAAGGCACCTGTGGACACTGTAGGGAAATACCCAGTGACTGTTACAGACACCTGTCCAAGCTGGAGGAGGCAGGCGAGGCAGCCCCAGCAGCCCACCTGCCAGCTTTCCAGATCAGTGACCCAAATCTCAACACCATCTTCTCTCTTTTCCTTTCACAGACGCTGGAAAACCCCAAGTATGAACTTATCATCGAGGCCCAAGACATGGCAGGACTGGACGTTGGGTTAACAGGCACTGCCACGGCCACCATCATGATTGATGACAAAAATGATCACTCACCAAAGTTCACCCAGAAGGAGGTAAGCCCTTGCTGGGCACTGCCACAGCGGTCATACCCATGATGGCTGATTGATACTCATTCTCTCCTGGCTTCTGTTCGTAAAATCACACGATGTCTTTGTGGGTGGGGGAAGGATGACATACTGCCAGAGTGCTTTTTCCTCTTATTTCCTGTGTGGAGCTGAAAATACGAGAGCCCTGCAGAACAAAGGCATTGAATCTTGCTAAAGTCCAGAAGAAAATAACTTTGAATGGCAGAGTGCCATTTTCCCAGCTTTGTCGGTGTTGTTTAATGCTGAGTTGTGGCAGTCCCACTGTGGTTTTAGCATAACAATAACTATTTTTTCCAATGCGTACAGATTGAGAGGCCAGAAGGAACAGCAGCGAGGAGGTAAAGCAGATTTTCTTGGCAATAACAAGGTGGCCCAGCAGCTTATAAATAACAACCAAGTTAGTTTGTCTCAAGGAGCCTTTATTTATGCCCGGCACCTGTGCTTTTATGATTATGGATCATGGTTGTTGTTTCCCATTTATTCCAGTGGATGGCAATGGTTGGGGATGGGCTGGGATTACATTCAGTGGCTGAATTTGTGTCTAAACTGGGAAACCATTGTCTGTGTGCATCTGGTGGAGGGTGCTAAGATCGTGGCTTCCTTGGAGGTCAGGGCCAGGGTCAAGTATTTGATGACCCCATTCCTGACCAAGTGCCTAGACAGTCCCTGATATTGGCTGGGGCATTATTGGGCACCCACCATTGTCTTCCCTGGAGAAGGATGTCATGCTTGGTAGGGTGGAGGGTCGACGAAAGAGGGGGAGGCCTTCAACGAGATGGATTGATACAGTGGCTGCGATGATGGGATCAAGTATAGCAGGGATTGTGGGGCTGGCGCGGGATCGGGCAGTGTTTCATTCTGCTGTGCATGGGGTCGCTATGAGTCGGAAACGACTCGATGGCACTTAACAACAACAACCATTGTCTCATTTGGCTGTGCAAGATGGCTTTCGTGGACTGTTTTGTGAATGAGGGAATGTATTATTGAGCTTGACACTAGAGATGCTACTGCTCTGAGGTCACAGACATGGCAGTAGAAATAGGATGAACACGAGTTTCTGCATCTCCAAAGGTGAGCTCTTACCTGCAGTGCTGCGTCTCCTCACTGTTTTGGAGGTTTTCCACCCTCTGAGGCATTCAGAGAAGAGACTCACTCCTGGACCAGCAGTGGTCTGGTCCCCTTCTCTATGAGCTCCAGGGCTACCCCACAAGGCATGGGACAGGTGGCCCTCTCAGCTGTCTGGTTCCCTGGTAGCATTTCCTGTTGCAGTTCTTCATGACTTACTTATTCAGGGGTGGAAATTTCCCTCTTTTCCCCTCTCTCCCATGGGGTCTCAGAGAGTCAAGATTCCAACCACTGAGCAGCAGAGGCCACAGTAGCTGCATCTGCTTCAGTTCTACATCCTCCCCAAAAAAGTTCCTGGAACATCTAGTATGTGACTGTTGGTTATTCCAGTGCCTTCCAAACATGTTCCAAGAGACACCCAACCTCAGGTGGTGAGGAAGCTAATGGTGATAATGCTTCTGAAATTCAAGAGGCTGAGTGGCATCCTTACCCATAGGTCCTTCTTCCCTCCATGCTGAAAAGCTACCATCTCCCTTTAAAGTGATCACTGAATCAGCTCAAGCACTTCGCAATACACAGTCTAGACCCTAGAGTTGTAGCAGGGAAGGAATTCTGGAGATGGGGCAGTGTCTCTAAGATGCCTCACTGTGGACAGGGCTGGGCAGGAAGGCAGGAAGAACCAAGAGAAGAGAAGGGGAGCACTGATGAGGCCTAAGACAAGATGAAATGATGGCCAGAGTGTGGCAGAGAGAGACCAGCAGGATGGTTGGGAGAGAGAGGAGACACGATGCTTACAATCCCAACACTGAAGTGTTTTTTAGAAATGATGATCAAGGTGTAGCCATTCCTCAGTAAATGGAGGGGTTGAGGGTCTCCAGAAAGCTGTCCAGGAAGATGCTGTCTTGCACAAATTTCAACATTTATTAGGATAGCTCTTAGTCTCTAGGAACATAGTTTTTCACTTGCTATTTGACATGGTCTTCCATCTCCAGAAGAATCCGTATTAGTCTATTTCAAAGAGAAGTTACAATCAGCTACAAAAACAGAGCCTAGGAGTAGCACTGTGTTCACTGTGGTAGAAGTCTAGTTTCTCTCATGTGCAGAGAGACACCCAGGCTGGTGTGATGCTCTGACATCATCAAGTCCTCAGATTCCCCTCCCCTTCCACTCTGCCTTCCGTGAGGCTGTCCCATGGTACAGGGCGGCCACTACGCCAGTTACCACATCCGTATCACAGGAAGAGAGAAGTAGGAAGTGAGAAAGGCAAGAGGGGACTTGTCAGTCAAGTAATCCCCATTTAAAGAGGTTCCCCGGCACTCCCCCTCCTGAGTTCTGGGTGCATCTCCACACCCCCCTATAGGTAGGGGAATCTGGGCAGTACGTGTCCTATCTGGAGTTGGCTATTGCAACCACCCACAAAATGGAGGTTGCTACTAAGGAAGAAGGAGATGTTATAAACGCTAGTAAAAAATAAATTCCCCGTGCAAAGCCAGCAGCCCTTGTGCACAGTCAGCTGGTGCGGCAGCAGCCCTTGTGTTTGTTGGTGAGGACTACAAGCTTGCTGAGGAACAAGGCGCATGTGTCTCTTGCCCTTGTTGCATTCCCCACAGGCACTCAAGGCATCTTTGCTGACTATTCCCCAAAGATCATTTTCACTTGAGAAGCATCACTGGGGACGATGAACCAAGGTCACACTCAGCATTTCTACTGACTCATGAAATCAGTGTTAGCTACTGAGTGTCATGCATGTTGAGGTTGGAAGCACTGCTCTCCCTCTGCGGACAGCCTTCTCTTCATTTCCCTAATAGTGTTTGCCCATGGCTTCAACGAAATGTGAGTTTCCCGTTTCCTAGATAAGGTATTCTTTAATGATCTTGAGAATCTAGAGAGACTCCCAAGCCCAGAGTTTGAATGCTAGGTGAACACCTCAGGTCCGTGTAGAATAAAGTGGCTTGCCCACTCCTCTCTCTAAAGTTGTTATTTTTAAAACAGACCTCGGATTAGTGCCCAGAGCACAATTGGTGCTCAACATGTCATAGCTGAGTCATTTGTGTTTTTACACAAATCCCAGGTCCTAGGGACTAACGGTCTTCCCCTTGGACCCATTCTTCCTTCCCCTTCAAAAGAATGGGCTTGCCAGTGATCAAAAGAGCAAAATCAGACTTTAGATATTTTCCCCATTTATTCTATGGGATTTTCATATTGGACTTTAAAATGGTGATTAGTAATTGAGACTTGGGAGCTCTGGTAGCATAGTGGCTAAGGCACCTGACTGCTAACCAGAAGGCTGGCAGTTCAAACCCACTAGCCACTCCTCAGAAGGAAGGTTGGGCAATCTACTTCCATAGTGATATCACCTCAGAAACCCAAGGATGGGTGGCTTTGCGTTGGGTCTGACTCGATGGCACATAACAACAACACAATAATTGAAATTTAAAAACTTAGGTATTTTATTATTATTATTGCAATTTGATGAGTTCTTTCTAAGGTAAATGTTAATACCTGTAATAAAATGGCATGTGACTTAAAAGGTCCCGTTCTCCAGTTGGAAGATTGGTGGTAGTGGTGTGTGTTCCAACTCAGAGAGACCCTAGATGACAGAGTTGAACTTCCCCGTAGGAGATTTGGTGACACATTGGTTACACTGAAGGACTTGAGATGGGCACATGCTCAAATTTTCACAAGAGGAGGAAGGCCACTGGTGTCAGCCAGAAGCTAGGGAGCTGAAACAGAACTTCTGGGAACTGCTATCATTGGGTTATCAAAGGGGTGCTGAGTTAGAATCTCTGATCCCTAAAAGTCACCATGGCATCCTCAAGCCCACAGAGTGGCCCCCAAAATTGTATTTTTCTTTGGAGATCAGCTTTTTAAATAAAAATCATTTTATTGATTATCTACCTAATAAACCCTATCAGACTTTTGGCTGCAAATGCTGTGATTTCTTCTTTATATAACAATTGTGCAATTTTGTCATCTCGACAAAGAGAACAGGACGTGTAATCATTTCTCTAGCAGGGTTGATAGAAATTGTGTCTGTGTTATTGATAGTTTAGAGAGGGTTTTTTCACCTTCACGTAGCATTTCAGCATTGGAAATGTCACATAAATTTTTTGGATTGTTGTCAAGTTTGAAAAAAATTTCTATCACGTTTCTGCCGAATAAATGAGCTGTACAATTTCTGATTTTTTCATGTAGTGACTTTTCTTAAATACTCTTTGAATTGATGGCATTTTTTGCCCAAGTTGTCACCCATGTCCTTGTTTTGTGGTATGGTATGAGTTCTATGTTGTCTTCATTGATGTTGGCATGGTAGGTTAATCAGCAAGAAATTGTCATCTTTTTCCAAGAAGTTCCTGATGACTTTCTTCTGTTCATGAGTGAGTTTAGCAAAGAATCAAGGAGCTATCTGATTTCTCATGGCAGAAATTTGCCTCTTCCTTTTACTGAATTACCTGACGCAGAATGATGTCAGGGTGATTTCTGTGTTTCATTCCTTAACTTCATAGCTTTTGCTTCATGTCCCATTAACTATTATTTAATACCACCTTAATTGAGATGTAATCCACTTGCCATAAAGTGTGTGGTTGTTGTGGGTGCCACTGAGTTGGTTATGATTCACAGTGACCCTGTGTACAGCAAACAGAACAACACGTTGACCAGTCCTCGTCATCCTCACCCTACGTTTGAGCCCATTGCTGTAGCCACTGTGTCACCCCATCTTGGTGAGGACCTCATTTTCTCTGGATGCTCCACTGAAACCTGTCCACCATGGGTGACCCTGCTGGTATTTGAAATACTGGTGGCATAGCTTCCGGCAACATGCAGACTACCACAGTCCAACAAACTAACAGACGAACGGTAACCATTAAGTTTACTCTCTTAAAAATGTCCAGTTCATTGGT